CCCAGGTCCGATACTCGTGCCTGTGTTACAAATATTAAGGAATGTGACTCCTCCATTACGCGCGCAATTTTAAATCAATTAGTAGCTAAATTGGTGGACTGCATATTATATATTTTGCGAAAAAAGAGAGATTTTTTCCTATGAAAAATATACTCGTAAAATATTGGCGCTTCATCACCCTAACATTTGATTTTGACCGCATTTTTGTATGATAGTCTTATATGATGTGTGACACGAGAAAAGTCAAGATATTTGTATTTGATAAAGGGAGCAATTAAATCAAGTTATGTTGTAAACCATATATAATACGTATTTTTTCGTAATATATCGTACGTTTTTATCTTATAATGCAAGATAAACTACTTTTAACTTTCTTACAAAATGAAAAAATAAAACCGTTACATCTTTTTAAATATGTATTTCTTCCTTCAAAGCATGTTTATATATAACAAACATACTATAAAACTATAAAAAAAGTCATTTGATATGTATCATTTAAGGGTGGTCGCTATACGTTTCCGTAGATTGAGGTGGTATTTTCTAAATAGTAGTCAAAATGAATTTTTTTGGTGGGTCAGTTTACTATTTTAATGAATTACTTCAAAAACCTCATCTGATCCACTTCAATAAACCCATAACAACTCATGTTAAAATTGCAGACAAAAGTTTCTGACATTATTTGGCAAGTGAACATTCCACTCAAACTACCATAAAATCGATTGCCTTCAAACGAAAACATAGAACAGTTTGACTTGAACTATAGTATAACTGTCGCAAAAGCGACATTTAAAGTTATGAACTAGGTCTATTTAAATATTCACGGAAGAAATGCCATAAGTGCAATCAGGGCCGTAAAACAGAAAACCGGAGAGACCTACGGAAACGACAATTTCAAAATGATAATACTTTTTGCATTTTATTTCCTGCAAAATTATCCAGTCATAGTGCGACACGAATGATCGTTTCTTTAAACTAAAACTACTTCTATAAATAGATTTTCGGACTTTTACAATGTCAAGGTCATCATTCTATTTATAGGTACAGCAGTAACATACATAATAACCCACATGATTAATAAAAAAAACCGAGGACCGCGATTAAGTGACGGATAAGATAATTTCATTAGAATATGTTTGCATTGCGAAATTCTCCACTTCGCTATTCATTGTACATATCCGACATTTCTTTTTGATAATCAAACACCCTCGTACCAATCAGAATTATCGGCTATTATGACAGACGAAAAGGCCCAAGAAGTTGCAATTGCCCTTTCACAAAATCTGATTTCATTCCATAAGGGGCTTCACGTTTCGGCGCGGACGCCAATGATAATATTTGTTTTTGTTTATGTGCATAATGAACTAGTCGTTTCAACAAAATTATGGTGGCTGATTTGTGCCATTCGTGTTTTCAACCTACGACCCCGCCAAGCGAAAAGTCGAAAAGTTAAAATGGCGGGGGCGCGGAGCGAAAACACGCTGATTAGCGAGGGGGTGGGTTCGGAGAGAAAACACGCTTATTAACATCCCCGCCATTTGAACTTGTTAAATATTGACTTTTCGCTTGGCGGGGTCGAGAGAGGAAAACACGCTAATTAGCGAGGGCGCGCGGCGAAGTTTTATTAACTTAACTTCGCCTACGTCCCCGCTAATTATCGTGTTTTCGTCCCGCGACCCCGCCGTTTTATTTTTTAAGTCTCGCTCTGCGGTCCTGCGCGGCGAAGTTTAATTAATTAAACTTTGCCCCGCGCCCTCGCTTACTAGCGTTTTTTCGCTGCCCGCCCCCGCCATTTTAACATGTTAAGTATCGACTTTTCGCTTGGGGGTGGGGTCGCGGGACGAAAACACGCTAATTATCGGGGGCGCGCGGCGAAGTTTAATTTTTTAATTAGCGTGTTTTCGCTGCGCGCCCCCGCCATTTTACCTAGTTAATTTTCGACTTTTCGCTTGGCAGGGTCGCGGGGCGAAAACACAAATGGCACAAATCCGCCACCATACAAAATAGACATCCACAAGGTCCATGTAAACATCAACAATATCTAATGTTACGTTCAAAAATACTTTCATTATTTTGGCAGATCTAAACATCGGATGAGCCCACAGATTATTTAAATGGTTGTGAATTTTATAATGTTAAATTCGGCCTGTATATTTTAGCATGTATTTCATTTGATCCTATCTTTCCTTTTCCTGTCCAATCCTATAATCAATATTCAGATTAATCTGTTGCTTGGTTGTTAAATCGTTGTTTTTTTAACAACTCTCAAATAATGGTTATTTATTCTGACACATAATAATAAATCACGATTATTTTTTTGTGCCTGTAGTAAAAATATCAGCCAGTAGCCCGGTTTATCAGTTCTATGTTTACATAGTAGCGCCTCTGATCCATAAGTACACACAACCAATGTGAATGGTAGTTGAATATTGGAAAATTGGATCAGTTAACAGACACAACAAATTATATACTATATATGAGAATAAAGGCCCCTAACGAGAGAAAACTATCACGCAAACCCAACAAAAACTGTGCCGTAAAAAAGACCACCTCTAGGAATAATTCATCCTTTCATAAATCAAAATCGCTCAAGTTGCTTCAAAATACGAGGAAGTTTCCATTTTTTAAAGATTTTTTTCCGATATGGAACTTGTTTTCCGCTTTTTCGAAAATGATAATAATTACTTTAATTTTAGATATCCCCCTGTCCACAAGACAAAATGAGTGTTTATACGCGTTATGATTTCTGTAATGTTTTGAAAGGTTGGTTGTTATATATCGTCTGCTACTATGACTATGCAAAGGGGTCCGACACACTTAGGTGTGTTCATCTATAGTGTAATTAACTTACACAAGCAATCTCACAAAAAATATACTAGGGACAAATATTTTATATATATGAACACACCAAAGTGTGACGGACCCCTTTGCTACTATGTTGGTGCGCGACGTAAATCCCAGCCAAAATGTAATTAAAGCTACAGAGTATGAATATAAACAAGAGGGCAATAATGGTCCTGAGTCGCTCACCAGAAACAACTGCTTTTCAGTGTTGGAAATTATTTTTCAAATGCACTTGCTGAAAGGCAAGTCCAGCTCTTTCGGCAAGTTCAGCTCAACTTTAACTTGCCCCTCTAGTAATATACTTTCACAATAATGTTTTTTTTTCTAATTGTTTTTTTAAACAATAGGACCACTAAGATGGCCCTAGATCACTCATCTAACCCATCATTTCATTATTCATTATTAAAATTGAAATATTTTGCCCTAATATTTTGGAAAGGCATTGTTTAAACTATCTATGTTGCAAGTATGTACCTATGAGACTATGTAAAATAAATGTACACATGTATCGCAGACATTCCACCATAAGTTGTTTCCCTTTCATTATAAAAGATATAATACTATGCTCATACTTGAGTAAAATATTTTTATCATAGAAATTTATTGAAATCTATGAAATTCTTACTGAATCTATCGAATTTGAATAAAAGAATGAATACACTATGTATGGGAAGCTGCATTCCCTAATTTAGGCCAAGTAAAGTGGGTCTTTTCTATACAAAAACAGACACTCTATATTCATAATATGACCACCTAATATATTTATAAAGAGATGTATCCACTGTCAATATTTTCTAATATCAAATTTGAGCATAGAATATCTTTAAACTATATTTGAAGAAATGTCATGGCCCGAGGCATTTAAGCTTTAGCGGCCCCTAAATAGGGCCAATCAAAATTAATATGAGTAAACTTGATAAAAGACTACCTAAGAATGCTGCAGGCAAAGTTTGGTGATCATACATTCATTAGTTCTGTAGAAGGAGACGTTTAAAGGTATTTCTATGTTTAGCTTAAGCGGTCCTAAAAGTGGCCAATCAAATTAATATGAGCAAAGAAAGTTTGGTGATCATCCATCAATTAGTTCTGTAGAAGAAGATGTCCAAATGTTTTTCTATTTTTAGCTCTAGAGACCCCTAAAACGGGCCAATCAAATGAAAATGAGCAAATTTTATACAAGACTGCCTAAGAATGCTACAGACAAATTTTGGTGGTCATCTATCATTTAATTTAGTGGTAGAAGATGTTCAAGGGTTTTTTCTGTTTTTAGCTCTGTTTACCCCTAAAAGGAGCCAATTGAAATGACATGAGCAATTTAAGTGTGACTGTCACAAGGATGCTACAGTCCAAATTTGAGGTAAATCTGCCCATCAGTTCCAGAGAAGATGATGATTGTTGACGCATGACGACGGACAATGGGCGACGGACTGCGGAGTATCCCCCTTTGATACTAATACATGTAGCTCACCCTGAACCTTCGGTTCTGGTGAGCTAAAAATGGCGTCTTGATTTAGATAAGGAAAGGAGTCTTCTCACTATAGATATGAGAAAAAAATCCAGCATTGTACATTATTGCCATGTCTGAACGAAGCCTGTACCATCAGTTCTCACTGTTGTACAACGTTCATTGGAAAAAGCCCCTCAATTTATGCACAGCAATAATCAAATATTTTGCCTTGGTGCATACATATTTAGCTTCACAAAATAGTTAAGTTTGAAAAAAACGATTAAATTATTATTGACAAATGAGTGAACTCGACGTAAACATGTTAACTTTACTTTCGGTTTCGGAGTTTTGAGGAGCTGTACAACATTGTATACGCATGCTGTCCTTCTAATCACATTTGACACCCTCCATTCAATAGTTACGAAAATATGTAAACCTTGTGCCTAAGAGTTTGTGCGTCTACACAAAACTTGAAAATTCGATATGCTTATCTTTGACTTTTGAAACCGAAAGTGATCGGAAAAAAATGTCATCGAATATCCCAATGATATATGTAACTGTTAGCAACAAACAAACAAACAAAAATAAGACATCTGTTGTTCCTATAAAAATGATAATATCTGCAAATACATTTAAAATAAAAATACTGGATCTCAGTTAAATAAAAAAACAATGCATGATAGATAATTATAAATTACAATTTAATACTTACGTAAAAGTGTCTTCTTTAACAGTTTAATCCATTCTGTGTTTTGAAGCAAGTGGTTTGAAAATTTTGTTCAAGGTTCATCTTTCAAATGTTTACATTTCAAATGTTAAAATGAAATCACAGTAAAACAACTGATAAAAAACACAAATTTTAAACAATCTTGTCATACTTAAAAACTTGCAAACTCCTCACAGCGGTCATGTGACGCTTTGGCTGAAACCCACGTGGCGATAGTTGTATCATGTGACAAAAACATGGCGGCCAATTTCAGAAAAGGATCCTATATCCAACTGGCAGATTTACAATTGCATCCTTACCAGATAAAATATGTTCAGAACATTCAATTTGTTTACATTTTAAAACAAGTGCCGGATCAAAATCTTGCGCAATCGTTCAATAACTGTCTAACTTCAACCATTGTTTACAATACATACGGTGTCACAGTAAAATATCTTTTGTTATGTTTACAAAATGATTTTTATACATTTTTTTTTAATTCTTGTACATTAAGCATAACAATTTAATGAAAGAAAACTAAAATGACATAAAGTATTCTATTTAAAAATTATAAGTGAAAAAAAAAATATTCGGCTCTCTGAGCGGTGGCAGTGGTTTCTGTACTGATCAGGGAAATAAAAGGGGAGTTTGAGAAACTTGCCTTCAAATAGTATTAATCATACGATATTCGCAGCCAATGAAAATTCAACAACATACAATTGTCTATTTATAGATATTACGCATGATTATCACCTGTTCGTTTAAAACGACTGATACCTAATAAACCGGCCGTTTTAAGATAAGCTTGATGTGTATTTATATAAATACGACCATACCCCCAGCAGAGCTACGTTTATGTTTGATTAAGTGCAGTTGAAAATACGGTGTCCTGTCTGGGCCAGTTAAAAGACAGCAGTTGACATGCAAGTATTTTCCGTCGCCGTTTCGTATAGCAAGATTTTACATTCTCGAATATTCAACGTTGAAATTGCCGCAAGCTTAACTTAATCCTCGTGAGATTCAAATGTAAAAATATTTGCAACGATTTATCTTAACTTTCGCATGTTTCTCACGAGACTGTACGTAATTTACAATACAAGTGACTATGGTAGAGAATATTATATATCTCCCTACTTATTTATTAACAAGTACATGCAGTGTGCTAGACTATTATCAGTGCTCAATAGTAAAACAAGTGCCTGGATAATGTAGCATTTTTTAGTTCAAAAAGGACCATAGTTATGTTAAAATCCCAATTAAAGTAAGGAACACTGGAAAGTGACCCCCCAATTATGCTTGCAAATGAATGTGTTAAGTTTCATCCCATTCCCTTCATTAGTTTTGGAGTTACCAACTTGCACACAAATACGTAACCAGAATGTGACGCCAACGCCGATACCTTGGTGGGTACAGTAGCTCTCTGTATACTTCAAAAAGTCAAGCTAAAATCAATCTTAAATCTTAACATAATCAAAGCACTGAAAGTGCTGTATGCGGTAAGCCCGAGAATTGTAAAGCATAGGTAGTCAGACTATTATCCCCCTTAACAGTTCCTTTCTTAACATTTCTATTTTGGGACCAGATTGTACCTGTTTGTGTTTTACACAAAACTTTCTTTTATTGTATATTATAAATTGAGGCATTTCTTGGGGTTCAAAGAACACGTGGTCTTTCATCAGATGAGAAGTTAGCAATTCACAATACAGCAAACTGCCGGTACTGAGAATATTGTTTAAGTCTGGTGTTGATAGTGTTTCAACAGACGAACAACTCATTACCAGAAGAAAAACTAAACAACAAGGCACACAGTGCTTTCCACATGCCTGTTCCGGCAGGCATGCAGCACCCTGGTGATAATCTGCCTTACACTTCAATTTGAAATCCATACTTCTTATGAGAATAATAACATTATAAAAAATATTTAAGTATGGATATCTCCAAACATGAACATATATGCATTTAAAGCTATATATATATATATATATATATATATATATATATATATATATATATATATATATATATATATATATATATATATATATATATATATATATATATATATATATATATATATAAAGGGAGATAATTAAATTCAATACAGTTATACTTTCCCCTGCGTGGGATCACTTAAGATACAAGTGTGCAGATAAATTGATAGAAATGAGAGAATATATACACACATACCACCACATCGATATGCCAGTCCAATTACGGCACAGCGCCTAGCAGAACAGTCATGAAAGCATAGCCACTGCTCATCCACCATCACAAAATGATGTATGTGTATGTATGTATGTTAATGCTTAATGAGGGTCCATCCGCCCTTCCGGGCACAAAAAGCAGCTTTCGCTGTCGAGTACGGACCCCGGACATGTCACCAGTCATGCCCTTAAAGTATGTTATAGTTCTAAAATGGTGACCTATTTGATTGGAATTCAGTAATTCACTGAATGAGCCCAAAGAAAATGCTATTGTTTTTAGATTTATTAATGAATTAATACACGGGAGGCCAATGAGACCATTGTGTGCATTATGTTGGTAAGTAAAAGAATGTGTTGCTGCCTAAAATAAAGGATCAAGAAGCGGACGGGTAAGGTTTTCCTGACATATAGACGCACGGACAAGCAATGGTGCTTCGGACTGGTGTTTTTGGTTCGGTGCCACAGACATGCAAAACGGACAGACAAGTTCACTCCTTCCAGTTTTCCAGCTCGGCCATGGACCATGGACAGCTTCCCTCATCTGGTGGGTCTAGAAGAACTCTTCCACGTCATCGGTCTTCGAAGATGTCTTCTTTGACCTCCCCCCTTAATGCCTACTTTGAGAGTGCGACATTTTCGGAGCTTGGTCATGGACTTCTCATCCCCTCAGAGTGGTCTTCTTCATCCCGTCATGTAGTTCTTCTAGATGTCTCAGATATATCGAGATAAGCGCCCCATATGTTACCATCACATGCATATCGATCCGACTGCCGGTTAGCCACAGACAATTTAGTAATTTATAAAATATATAGCCACAGACAATTTAGTAATTTATAAAATATAAAATGATTTTCGAAATATTGCCTATATCGGTCCAATTTTGAATTTTGTTTATTGAAGTATGGAAAGCCACAGACGCATTTTATTGTTTTAATTAAATTTATTAATAAATATATTTTCAGTCAGTGAAGTGTTGTTGCCAAGGCCGTCCCAAAGCACTAGCAGTTTAATGGTGCCACAGACATTGTTTGCCACGGTCAATTTGGAATTTTGAAAATGACAAAATGATGGTTTCAGAACAGCTTTATATACAGTCACAAACTGCACTACACATTGAAACAAGCTCAACATTCACATATATAGAGTTTGTTCTCTGTTATCATATCTCACAAATCAACGATGACATTTTATTGTCTTCTTCACTGATTGGGACCAGAGAACTATATATCTATTTCCGAAAGTCAACTGGATCACGTAAGATCAAGTAGATCCGTAGGATACAATGAATTTAGACAGATAAAGTATATATAAAGGGAGATAATTAAATTCAATACAGTTATACTTTCCCCTGCGTGGGATCACTTAAGATACAAGTGTGCAGATAAATTGATAGAAATGAGAGAATATATACACACATACCACCACATCGATATGCCAGTCCAATTACGGCACAGCGCCTAGCAGAACAGCCGTAATTGGACTGGCATATCGATGTGGTGGTATGTGTGTATATATTCTCTCATTTCTATCAATTTATCTGCACACTTGTAATTAAGTGATCCCACGCAGGGGAAAGTATAACTGTATTGAACTAATTATCTCCCTTTATATATACTTTATCTGTCTAAATTCATTGTATCCTACGGATCTACTTGATCTTACGTGATCCAGTTGACTTTCGGAAATAGATATATAGTTCTCTGGTCCCAATCAGTGAAGAAGACAATAAAATGTCATCGTTGATTTGTGAGATATGATAACAGAGAACAAACTCTATATATGTGAATGTTGAGCTTGTTTCAATGTGTAGTGCAGTTTGTGACTGTATATAAAGCTGTTCTGAAACCATCATTTTGTGATGGTGGATGAGCAGTGGCTATGCTTTCATGACTGTTCTGCTAGGCGCTGTGCCGTAATTGGACTGGCATATCGATGTGGTGGTATGTGTGTATATATTCTCTCATTTCTATATATATATATATATATATATATATATATATACATATAAATTCCTAAGCAATTTCATCAATTTTTAAAATAAACATGGAATATGTGCCCATTGTAGAGCATCCACTATCATAAATACGTAAAATCAAAATATTTCTATCTGTTTGCCATCTTTTGTTCCACAAATCAACATTTGATTCTTTCTTTCTTTCTTTTTTCTTTTTTTCTTTCGATATTATAGTAATTGTATTTTCGCTGTTAGCATAATTATAATTATGCTCCTTGGTGTTTGACTTTGAATCGTTAAAAAAACATTTGAGTGTTTTCTTGTAAAAGCTTGTTTTCAACAGATCGTTGCGGAAACAATTTCAGCCTATTTCATGTTTATTATACAATATAGGATTAATCAGAAAGTCGTTTGTTGACCCGGTAGGCAGGAGAAAGTCATGAAGAACGATAATAATGTACAAGAAAAGCATTGATGCAAAGCATCAAAGGGCGTCCAAACAGCAGGTGCAGATGAACGAGTAGATATATGATGACAAGATATTCTTATAAACTTTTCAATGGTTCATTGGGTTTTACCAGAATTGTATATCACTTTTGAATGAACGGACGAAAGACATTGTTCATTATTTATAACTTTGATCGGCATGCTAGAAATTAGAATATTACTTGTTATTTCTTTATGATCGTGGTTATTAATAGCAACGGATATACATGTATACAATCATTTATAATTTATATGTGTAACGCATGATCAACACCATACTTGTGTAATTGTCCCTTATTATGTTATCGCTATTAGCGAGGACCCCCTCTTAAGGTATCTGTTCACACTAAGTAACAATATGACACTTGTTATATTACCATGTTGATCATGTTGAGCATAATTGTTTATTATACAATAAATGTAATTTCTATTTTAATAAAAAAAAATACAGATTTTATGAATATTGTTTTCTTTTCTTTTTTTGTGTGTGTTTTATGCGCTATTTTAATACTGAGTTTTTACGTTTACTACTATTTTAAAAATTCAATTGTCATAATGATCGACGATTATAAGTCAAAACTTAACTGGAAAAAGTCAGTAAATCATGGTTAATCTTTCAATATATAATATTGTTTATTCTTAAACCATATACATGTACATTTGTATTTTTCTTTATCATTTTTTAAATTATCAATCAATTGAATAATTCATAAAATCTGATTTGTAACTTTGAATAATTCCTCGGAATCTTTACTAATCACGAATAACAAATTAAATAAAATGTTTTAAAGTTGATAGTGTCATATTAATGCCATAAAAATGTACATTTTTTCTCAATTATTGTACATATTTATTGTTTTTATCTCATATATAGATAAAATATAACATGCGATTTGTGTTTTTTTTTTTTTTCGAATTGTATGTTTATGTATAATAATAATCAATCAATTCGAGAGTTGATCTGTGTTTATTAATTATTGTAACCAAACTAAGTGACAAACATTCATTTTGAAAAAAGCTTATTTATCTGTAAAATATTTGTTCTTTTCTGTAACGATATCAAACATCTACTCCAAAACCGGGAGAGACCGGACAATAAACGTGTGGTACTATTCGCCGGTCATTAGTAAATCCCGGGAGAGACCGGGAATTACCGATATGAGTACATCCCTCTATAAATAGATTTTCGGAATATTTAGGTCATCAACTCATCATTCTATTAACAGCTTTCGGAATAACATACCATAATAACCCACTGTGTACTACAAAATGATAAGCAAAAATACCCGAAGAGCGCGATTTATTGACGGAAAAGGTTATATCATTTGAAAATGTTTGCATTGCGAAATTCTCCAGTTCGCCATTCATTGTACATATCGTGACTAATTAATAATCAAGCACCCTCATACCGATCGGAATGATCGGCTTTTATTATTGGCAACTATAAAAGGCTCGAGAAGTTGCTGTCGCCCTTTCACAAAATCTCATTTCATTCCAATAGGCGCCGCGCTTCGGCGCGGACGCCAATCAATATGGTGTAAATTTAATCTGATGTCCCGAATACATATAACGATAAGCGCTTATGTATTCAGAAAATATTCTATAGAAAAAATAATCATCCGGGAAGAATCGTGTTTTTCAATGGACACACGATACATAAGCTGTAAAAGTTCAATTTGCTATGCTGTACCAATTTAATCAATCAGAACAATATTAAATTGTGCTTCTAGATTTGGTTAACTTGTTTGAGTCTTTTCAAATGAAACAATTGGAACATAAGCTCTTTTGATTTATTAATTTGGCATCTTCATTATAAGTGCAACGTTTCATATTGTCTTTTAAAATTTTTCTACGTGAAAATATAAAGTTCATAACTTTTAAAAAGTTTTGGATATTAAATTTATGTCACTTTACCGAACAAAAAGCTTTGAAGTCGATAGAATTTCTGTCCTTTTATCTATGCATTAGATATATTTCTGAATATCAAAGCGTTAATTGTTTAGAAATTTGATTACAAACAATAAATGTTTGCATAAACATTGTTTTTGTTTAAGATAATTACTTTGAAAGGGATTCTGTTGACAATTAATATTGCTTATCATGAATGCAAAATTCAATCATTTAGTATTCTGACACTACTGTGCCAAACACATATTTCTTGGAGAATTGTTTGCTGAATGAATATCTGGAAATTCGAGACAAAGGTCTGATATGATTTTTATATTTTATTCACATTTTACAATAATTGACATTTATAACATAAAAAATATAACTTTATTGTAGCCGATGATTCTGACAATGTTGCCGAACTGTATTTGAAAGCGATGTAAAATAAATATCATTCATCAATAGATGGAAATTTCAATAGAAATATTCTCCTTCGTAAGTAAATGAGAAAAATTACGGCATATAAATATTTGAAGACATCAAAAAATATAACATAATTCGAGATAATTTAAAAATTATTTTTTCAACAGGAATACAGTAATGTCTTAATTTTAGGACGGCGAAAATCATTTTTTTTAAATCCTGCATGTTATGTAAAAAATATACAAAACAAATATCCAAAAGTTTGATTTGATGATAAAACAATAATTTAATGAAAATAAAATCAAAATAAGTAAATAATCCAGAAAATAAAAGGACGAAAAATCTTCGCCGCTGACTCGGTCTTTCTTAATATACAACACAATGGTACGTTGTACATCAGGTAGCACATGATCAGTCAAATGACCCATCCTTTAAGTAGAACAAAACAAACTATCAGTAGCACACGATCAGTCAAATGACCCATCCTTTAAGTAGAACAAAACAAACTATCAGTAGCACACGATCAGTCAAATGACCCATCCTTTAAGTAGAACAAAACAAACTATCAGTAGCACACGATCAGTCAAATGACCCATCCTTTAAGTAGAACAAAACAAACTATCTGTAGCACACGATCAGTCAAATGATCAGTTAAATAATGGTTTTGGAGAATGTTTGATGCCTGCTACCTGAAGAAAGTAAGAATATATGTAACCTTATTTGTCATTAAAGTAGCTAAATGTAAATATAAGTAGTATTTTGACTACCATACAAAATACTAATTCTCTATAGCTTTGCTTTATGCCAAAAATGCAACAGATGAAATAATTCAGGTAACTGGCCGATCAGTAACTTTTTGAGATATGAAAAGCTTTTGAGATATAAAATTAAAGGCTTTTCTGAGGCATAATGGGCCTTTAATAGAAGATCATCCAGATGCACCTGGTACGTTTTTTTTTTTGAAGAAAAATACCTTGAATTTATTGACTTTGAAAATTTTGAAACATGAATTGTGGGAATGATATGTTATTTCAATTTCTATGTATTTTCAGATTGCATTATTTAATTGATAGGTTTTTATTTTCGTCGTCACAATATATGATTGAATTCCGAATAAGGGTGCTGTCATTTCTGTTAAGATGAGAGAATGGACAGATTGAGGCGCCGACATTTGTTTATTCTCTCACATAATGGACAGTTTGAGGAGTTCTCTTACTTGTTCTCTATTGTCTTAATAATGGACAGTTGTATAAATTCATGAATTTCATGGAAAAAAAATGAAAATTACTTGTCACTATTGTTATCTTAAAGAACACTTATTGGGTGCCTGATGTTACCAAGCTTTTATTGTCTTATATTGTGTGATTATGGCAATGAATGTTAAAATTTCAATATCTGTTATGCGTTTGGGACTATAATACATACTGTAATAATAAAGTAAAAGTATTTTTAATGTTTATTATCAGTGATTATTGTGTTTTTATTTTATAATAATTATGATTAAATATTTACAGTTTATTACTATTTAACTAATACAAAATTGCTATTTTGCTTTGCGTTTTTTTTAAATCACCAATGAAATCAAAGAAGTTTCACGGGCTCCAGTTAATCAAGGGGAATAATCCTAATGAAAAAACAGCAATTCGACACATATATTTACGATTGCTGCCCATGGTCTTTTTCATTGTTTTATTGTGTGCCTTTTATCTTTGTTAATAACATTGTGCAAATAACTAAGTATTAAATTCAGTAAAACATATACTAATTCAACATATATAACTACTTCTATCGGAAAATTAAAAAGGAAGATATGTGTGATATTGCTGTCTTACAATGTTCGTAATAATACATGCCTGCATTCTAGGTATTTGACATTATAGAGAATTACACTGTTTTTGTGTAAATTTGGCATTTATAGGTTAATAACATGATTGTTTAGCTAGTATGTCTCCAGGTAAAATCACACACAAACTTATGTTGTTCAGATAAAGAATGAATGATACGGAATTTAAGAAACTAAAGCCCTAATATTAAATAAATTATGGGAACATGTCTAGGATATAAAACACCACCAAACATATTTTCTTTTAAATCTTCAAATTTACGGTTTCAGCTTAGTATCTATATTTTAAGTATTAGAAGTCAACACTTTTTTAGCAGATGTGTGGGTAGAAATTTTTTCATTATGTCCGGGTTCTGAGGCATAATATTCACAATCTGCAAGTACGAAAAAATTACTGTCCATCATATTGATGAATTTCGGATTGAAAATTGTCCAATATTTAAATATTAGATACCTTTTTAGAAATATTCGATATTTTACTTCGTCTGTCAGTACATTTAACACGTTATTGTACAGATACAACAAAAAAGATGACCTCACAAACATGTTTTAAATAACACGTCAGATTCATATATGTCAAAAACAAGTTAAGTCTTCATTTACTTAAATTCTTTATTTGTATCTCATCTATTTTGAAAACACCTTAAGTGTTAAACAAATCAGAACTGACGTTCAGAATGGATTAGAAATAAATATCATGAAACATTCAAAGGTTGTTTTGCTGGTTGTTGTAAAAGTCTTGTTGCTTAAGAATTGTTAGAAACATCTTTGAAGCCATCTGCCAGTTTATCTAAATGAATAAATTTCGACTTCGCACAAAGTGAGGGTTTGTCCATTCTTTGTAATGGTGACTTCATCTCCAACCAAATCATCTGTGTCACAGTCGATTGTGAGAGTCGTTATTCCTGTAGCGGGACCAACATATGTAGCGCAGATATCAGTTCCTACCGTAATCGTCAGGTCTCGTAGTCTCCCCTCTGAAAAATAAAGTACATGCGACATTTAAAATCTAATACAATTAAAAGCGAATTGTTTATGAATATTTCAATGTACATGCGACATTTAAAATCTTACACATTTTAAGGTTATTGTTTATGAATATTTCAATGTACATGCATTTATTTCAGTAATTAAAGACATTTTGTAATGTGCATAAGTGTTTATCAGACATAAAGGGCCACCACTCCTTTGTAGTCGTATGTTTAAACATACAACATGCAATCGCAACTTTTCGGCACTTTCCGGCAGTCTTCGGATAGGTTATTATTGATAATAGCCGAGATGGTCCGATTGATAAATCATGTTGTAATTATCTTCTCTTCGTATAAAGCGACATTATTCTGTTAGAAAAGGGTTCAAGTAAATGTCGCCTGATGAATTTTATGCTTTTTATTTGACTTAGTTCATACATATTACTATTAATACTGTTTATTTGAGGTATTTCTTTTGACGAATTTCTATTTCACTGTACATTCCAACACTGATAACACGCAGACTTATGGAAATGAAACAGGTAATTTTCTAATTTTATAGTTCTTTACAGACCATAGAAAGGAACACTATTCATGGCTTTCGTTGACAAGCTCACAAACTCAAACACCAGTTGATACACTGACCAAATCCGAAATATATTGCTGAAAGGTAAATCGATAATTCAAAAATCTGTTTGGCGTATATGGTATAACAGTATAAAAACATAAAGGAAAAGTAATGACTTTACCATAACCATTCGCTCTGTTTGTTATAACAATTCTCCTTATTGGGAATGGCTGGATCAACTTAATGGTCCAGGATGGGGTCAAGTCCCAGTCGGCACTGCACTGACAGTATAGATCGGCGTGAATTGGTCTAAAATCCTGGTTGACAGCAAACTCTGCTTGTCCGCCCCAAGCTGCACTCGAGTCGTATACGTCCTTGTAACCGTAAACCAGGTTCGCCATCAGGGCTATAAATCAGATTAAACTTTATTGCAGTAACATAACAAAGAATTGAATCACTTACGACGCCAACTATTAATTTCCATTTTCAAGATCAACACTACTGCTTGTTCGATTCCCGCTACTGACATTTTACTCAGCTAACGTAAGAAAGGTCGGATCATTTTACTCAACTTGCATTCGAAAGGTCGGGTCATTTTACTCAGCTGGCGGACCAAAGGTCGGTCATTTAACTCAGCCAGCTTACGAAAGGTCTGGTCATTTTACTCAGCTCGGGTACGAAAGGTCGGGTCATTTTTCTCAGTTAATGTACAAAATGTTGGGCCATTTTACTCCGCGTTTGTTCAAAAGGTCGGGTCAGTAAACTCAGCTAGCTTACGAAAGGTCGGACCATTTTACTCAGCTAGGGTACAAAAGGTTTGCGTTATTTTACTCAACTTTTGTACGAAAGGTCGATCATTTTACTCAGTTAGGGTATTTCTCAGTTAGTGCAAGGAGAAACTCACCATAGTTTTATTACCTTATTGTTGTATTGTCCAAATACTAAGTCGTCGCCTTATTCTAAAAATGTCCTAACTCCATTTTTACCAAAAATGAGATAACTGCATAGTTATTTTAGTATTAGTTTGTTCTATCTCCAAAACAAAACATGTAAAGATTTACGTCATACTTTTGTAGATATAGCGTCTGTATTTTGTTCTATGTCCAATGGAAAGCTTTGCTGTTAGCCTTTTTTCGTCGTATCTCCAACACATGTAACACTTTTAGGCTAATCTTTCGTGCCAGCCAATCAAGTTGAAAAATATATGTCATGTGACCTGAAGGGGCCTGACAATATAATTGTTCTAACTCCAGTGATAACAACAACAATCGTATCTAAATCAGCCAGCTAACTAGGAAAGTAACAGTTAAAAAATGATTTCTGAAGAATGTAAGTAATATATTTTAGCTTTTATACGTTTTATAAGTGAATTTATATTTTGCATTAGTATTTGTTTCATCGTATTATGATTCTTTTATATATATTTCTCAAAGTTTGACAATCACATAATTTCGGATAACCATATTCGGATATTCGTATGAACTATTTGGAGTATTTGAGTATTGAACATTGTTGTTGTTTAATTGTTAATGCTATTATTTTGTCCATTTCAGGTCAGACTTACTTATATTATCAGACGTTGTCCTTACAGAAATTTTGTCTCTTAGAACTTGTGACTGCAGTTAGCAGAACGTCCACAAAACTGTGGAATTTTATATCAACAACATCAAGTCTGTGGGGAAATTTTGACTTGCCATCAGTTTCAGATAAATCATTGTTTCAAGTCTTAAAATATTCACAAAAGATTTAGATATTTAACATTCCAATAGGATCGGAATACCACTGTCTTGTCCAAACATAGATTTTAAGTTTGCATGCGAGTTTCAGTGTTCTTCGGGTCATCAATGATTATATTTATTAGATAATAGCAGAATTCTTAAAGCACAATACGGCATGATCTAAAATGTTGCCGGCTCGGTTTGATTTAGCCTGTTCATGGACGATATTATTAGAATGTCTGGTATCTACGTTGTGCGACAAACACCAAAATGGGAGATCGCAGAATTCACGGGATGTAAAATCTTGAAAACGACCATTTTGCAATCTTGAAAGATTGTTAAGAACTTGAGCAGATATTTTTTCATACGCTGATATTAAACCACAAACAATACTTGAGACTTTGAGAGGCGGTAGAAATGCATGTGGTATTGACTTTAATTGTGTGAATTAAAAAAAAAGTGTTCTTGTTAATATAATTTTGATATGTATTCATTTAATCACAATATTAGAGATGGTTTCAATGATTTCATTTTTCATAATGGTACAAAATATGTCAGTTTTTTTTTAGCAAGTTCATTGATTAAACATTTTGTGAAATGTATGTTTTTCTTTTTTTATGGCACACTTTTATATTGTCATTGTCGAGAAAGGCCCAAGTTGGAGATCACGTGAATGAATTTACACTTTGACATAGTAATTTACAAAGATAAAGTGATTCAGTGTCAGCGGTTCAACCACTCTGGCTGAAAATGTTCTTTAGAATATAAAAATCTACTAATATTCTATAGTAAAATTATTACTCTTAAAAAATTCTAACTCAAAAAGTATTTACAATTTTAGCCTTACTTTGTCATATCTCCGCAAACTCATTTTTAGAGTAATTTTTTTATCTAAAAATAAACATTTTTGGTCTATCTCCAAATATTTTTTTTAATTTTTTCAATTACTGCAAATTATAAAGGTATATAACAAAGTGCTTTCATCACATGTTGACATAAATAATACCAATCCAGAAGTCCACACTGTTAGGAGTTATTAAATAAAAGTTACAAAGTCTTGAACCTTTAACCCCTTTTTCCCAAAAAAGAGGAAATTGTAGATACACCATTTTTAGAATAGGGCGACGAAGTGCATTGAAATAAAATACCATTTAACTTCTTAATAACAAAATCTAATAATCGCCTACTAAATATAATATGAACGGTGCAGAAAACTTACAGAAAGCAACTTTGATACAATTTAAGGAAAAAAATAGCATGTCATCTTTTTGACTTATTACCTTTGTTTTAATGTTCTTTAATACCAAATATTCAATAACAAGTGATATTATAAAAGGGAAGCAACTCACGGTCAATACAGTCGCAGTTGCCGGTATATGCAAAGGGGCATTCACACTCATACCCATTTTCCAGGTCAGTGCAGTTTCCATTTTCTCCGCATGGGTTAGATAAACAGTCATCAATGTCTGGTGAACATCAACAAAAAACAATGTTTGAGGTAAACATGTAACAATATAATTGGCGACAGAAAAATAAGTAAGAGATAGGCGAGTACTAATTTGTTCATAACGTAATCGAAAAACTTACATTATCTGATCCACAGGCTGTGAAAACGCATATACAGTTATATACCCGTAAATGAAGTAAGAATATTGCCATTTATACACAACTTATTTATAAAACAACACAGTTTTGTTGTTGTTCTTTTTCAATTAAATTTGACTTATTTCAGTGATACTGTATCAATATTTAGAATATTTCTTAAAACATTATTTATAAAACAGCGACATGTGTTTCGTTTACTAAATTAGTGTCGTTTTACCCTGGTCACACTGGGTCCCCTCCCATCCAGGGTTGCAGATACACAAGAACGCGTCATGTAAATCTACACATGTCCCGTGCAGGCATGGACTGGAGGCGCACTCGTCTATTGCTGAAATTTAAATTCTAGAAATATATAACAGAAATACTTCTTGTTTATTTGGTGGTACATTTTTAAAGATACTTAGCGTTGAAATCCTTTAATTACTAAAATGCTGTCACCAACTGGATGGGTAACCAAAGTCAGTTCTACCTGAACATAGTTGTATTCATCGTCAAATATGCGGACTGTGCATGCTTTATGCAAATATGATTTTGCTATCTCAATGTCTATACCATTTGTAATAACAAGACTGTTTGATTTTTTATTTAAATCATCAAATCGTCGTTTGTCTGCAAATCACATATCATCCAGTAAAACTGCCTGGACTGATATAACATGCACCGCTCACATTCCAGGAACTTAAAACTCTTTCAGCAAATGGGCATGCTATTTGACTTACACGATTCGATCCGGCTATGTCACACACCACTATACTGTACTGATCAGGGGAAGAAACCGTTTTGGAGAGTTTCGACCTATTCTGGTTCCCAACGGGAACCGTGTTAGCACTTAGGGACAGGAAATCCAGACTAACATTCGACATCGTATGTTCATAGAAATTACTTACCCGTTTCGCAATTGTTTCCAGTAAAACCACTGGGACATACGCAAGATCGTATAGTTTGGTCTAGTCTATTTTCTGCTTTGTTTGGACTTGTAATATTATAAACGCATGTGCCGCCATTTTCGCATGTACCTAAAATCATTATGAACTTTCTTAGATAAAAATCATCAGTTTGTGTAAAAACAGAATAGACTGGATAACAAAAAATAGGATTAAATAGAATAGAATAACTTATTTTTCATCATCACTCATATGACATATAAATCACAATAATAATGGTATGAAAAGTAAAAAACGAAGTGATCAATTTTCCTTTTTCTTTAACAATTTAGTTTCCATTGCTTGTAACCTGTTACAGTTTCCAAAAATGAAAAAGAAAAAATACTCATCGGCAGTAAAAATAAAACCATATTTTTATGTGTTTGGTCCTTGACAGTAAGTATTGGTCATTGGTCGTGTAATTTTTTTTGAGAGCGAAGCCGAAGTCAATGTGTTTCATTTAAATTATAATCAGTGATAAGATATTTTTCAGCGAGAGCTTCAATATTTGTAACAGCTGTGATGTATAATTTACAATCGGAACATTTCGGTCTTTTCCGCCAGTCTTCGGATAAGGACCTCGAACACACCAAGAACGGATACGATATTTCGGTCTAACCTACCCTAAGAAACTAAACATGTAAACATGGTTTTTCCAATTTTAAAGACCCTGATGTAACCAAATAGCAATTTAATACTAGATGACTAAATTTATATCAATAAATGGAGTAAAAGTCCACATAAATAAAGTACATTTATAGATCCGAGGTTATTATTGATAATAGACAAGATGTTCCGATTGGTATCATTTACACGTGTGATTTCAAATGTTTGATATAAAGTTAAATAATTTCTTCTATTTATAACTTCTTTAACCTTTAGAGTAGAAACACAAACGAAATTGATGTTTAAGATAAACATATTTTGTGCTCACTTTAAAAAGGCACATTATGCCTAAGAGACAAATATTCTGACGTATTATAATATTTTATATAAGACTTTTGTAAGATCTAGAACCTTTGTGTTGCTTATCATCTTAAGAAAGTAGAGCTGAATATGAAATATTTTCTGATAAAGATAAAAGAATGTAAACAAAGTGGTAGTTTGACTTCTGTTCAAATTCAAATGGAGCAAATCCATTACATTAATTGTATGTTGTAATTAAGCAAGTAACATACAGTTAAGTGTACAGCTAATGTTTAAATACAATATAATTAATGATAGTAAAATTAATGCATTCATGTTATTTATTGGGAAGAAAAAAACAATTTGCTTAGACTTTTCTAATTACCTCCCTTTATTTACATGAAATGTTAATTCGGTAATGTCTTTACAAATAATGCATTTTGAAACTTACAATATTGATATCTTCATTTGAGCATCAGTTTAATGATAAAAAGCCATAAAAATTGCGTTACATCGTCTTTTAAAGTAAATGAAAAATATAAAACAGAAAGAAAGGTATGGACATACAAGGCAAGCAGTGGTCAACACAATTTACGTCATTTACACAGTTCACTGACGTTGCACATATTTCCCCATAGCGACAATTCTGTGGTAGAGAAAATAATCTAAAGGTAGGTAAATATTATTAACATCATACATATTTAATGAACATTCAGTGACTTGTAACTTCCCTTTTCCTTTCTAGTAGGGATTCTAACATGTTAAAATCTTTAAAAAAAATAAATAAATAAATTCCTAACACTATACTTAAAAGATGATTTACTTAAATTGTTATTATTTTAGATTGTAACGGTTTTCGTCACAGTTAAACATGAGAATAAGGGGACAGAAAACAAACTTTATATATATTTTACTGTAGACGAACGTTATTCTGTTATAATTAACAAAAATGTTAAATATCTAAACTAATTACATGATTATCGCCGTTACACAACACCCTTGAACAATCCACCATATGTATCCCTAAGTGGAAAATGGCCATCTAAACACAAAAATAAGAAATGATAAGTTTTGTAATAGAAAGAGCACCGAAACACGAGGCTATCTGATTTGTACGAGGGGGCGTAGCCCCCGAGTATCAATCAGATTGCCGAGTGTTTTGGTGTTCTTTCTCTTTTGTATCATAGTTAAACATAAAAACACGTTCCCTGTTGTCACAATATGAAACCCCGGCAAAAATGAACCAATGAACGAACATCTGAATATGACATTCTGTCGCTTTCCCTTTCTCTGCCGTCACAATATGTAAACCCCAGCAAAAATGAGCCAATCAATGGGCATGCTCTGGAGTGCGGGTAACTAATACCCACACTCCAGTTTACGCACTGTGCATGTGTATTTATACGATTTAAGACCGACACATTTTCAACAGAAAGGTCTCCAAACTTTGATACAAAAAAATGTTGTCGTATGAAAAATAGGTATATATCTTTAGAATTATATAAAGAATATCGCGGTTCTTTGTGATGATAGAAATAGCATATGATAAATGATAATGTCAACATTGCGTGGATAGAAATATATCGTGGTTCATTCTGCACGGTGATACCCACCCACCCCACAACCCTCACCGCAGCACTCGTACAGGATATTTCCAGACTTAAATTTACATGATACATATCTCGGCAGTGAAGCACAATCTTCAAATTATCTCCGGTAAAGTCGATATAAATTACAATAATCAAAGCGCTGAAGGCACAAAATTCATTTGATTATTAAAATTTTGCAATAATTTGTTATTTAACAGATTGTTTGACATTTGCTTTTACATGTGCAGATATCTTGTAAATGATATCAATATTATAATCAAATATATTGAAGTTAACGTACAGAAATTTCTTTTTTCATATCCAATGCATTTTGAGTAAGGAGTAAAATGTATAGAAAAGTAACATATATTGACTTTTACACTTTCGCATATATAATGTTTAAGACTTCTGTTTAAGTGGAATTTGTTTAATGATTAAAGTCCACTTAATTTTTTATCCCCCAGATAATTTGTAGTTTGGTCAATATTTTTTCTGATTAACTATGTCCGTTTTTATGTTTGCGCGCTTTTGGTTTTTATTTCTATGAGTTTTTTAATATATGTTATTCACGTAAAATTTTCCATGAGTGTTTAATCTGTTTGTGAACATTTTAAAATGGCCCTAATTGAGATTAATTCTATCAAAGATAATCTTTTAAAGTAATCACCATCGAACCAGTGGATCAAAAGCAGTTTTATTTCATATACCTAATCTGGAATCGACCTGAAAATTACATCTGAACTATTTGCATTATTTCTGAACTGCCAAAATTGGTCAGAAACGATATCCTTGGTCTGAAACGTATAGCCTGATTAAAAAGACATCGCCTATCAATATTCTCTAATCAACAGGGAAAGAAAATTACTGGTAAAACATGTTTGCAAATCGCCTCTATAGAAACTTGGAACATGATTACGTGCCTGTAAGGCCATTTTTCATGTTGGTAAATTTTATACTAAACAATATGTGTAATATGAATTAAATACTTATCTGAGAAGGTATAATTAATGATTTGAAAATATTTTAAATACATATTAAATAAAATGAAAATAAAATAAATATATAAAAAATAATGTTACAAGCTCATGCTTAACACTCAACAACACCACATCGTATTTGGCTGTATGGTCTTTTTATCATTATAAATTAAATATTCTTTCAACTAAACTATTTATGACTTTTGTACACCTCTATAATAAGTTTGCCCTATATATGATGTAAACATTGGGACAACAGTCAAACGTTTTATAACGCTTTAAAACTAGCCCCTTTCCAATAAATTAAATTGACAGGTTTTCAATTTTGTTTTAAAAATGAAAGAAAGGAAAATGCTCTATCACCTTAAAATAATACAATGTTGTACAATGAATATCAATTTTATAACATATCATATTAGTTAATAGTAAAACAGTAAAGCTTTGATAAAATATAAATTGAATAAACTGACTTACCATGGAAGAGATATATATTAACAACATTCTGAACTTATTATCCAGGCTCCACTGTCACAAACTTCACGCAGAGCTAAACTGATAGAGATTGCGTTTCTGAAGCCTATAATTATATACGTTTTCATAACCAAACACGTGTTTCATAAAATCTAAAAACATCTTGTTTTGAAAACCATCCACATGTTACTTGAAGTATCAACCCATCCAATTACCTTATAAAATGTGACTTAATTTAAATAGATGTTTGCATACATTCACATTTTGTAGCATATAGATAGTTGTCAAGTAACTAGGTAAGCACAAATAAAATACAAATAACAACATTATAGCATAAAATCGGTTATTTTTCCCTCTTTTCCCATCTTATAACGGGACAAAAACCATGTCACACGCTCTTGTTATAAGACAAACAAATATCTATCATTCAGTTTAACCCTTCGATTAACTTACAAAACAAGATAACACAAAATGAATATGAGAAAATTGTTGTTTTGTTGATGTTAACATTGATAAATGCTCATTGAGAGATAAATGTTTAGTGCCTGATGTTTTTATTAACTTGTGTGCTTGAAAAAACCAAATGATTCTGATGTCTCTGATCTTTTTTTCTACAGTCAATCTGAAATCATTCTAGGAATTTCTGAGTGTCATGTTTTGTATTGGGTAGAGTTATTGAAAGTTTATTTATCTTGAGTTGAGTTAATGTAAAGCTTTGTTTAATCAATAAAAATTCGAAATTTCGTTCGGTTCTGAGCATTTGTATTTCCCAAGTTGTTGGCCCCGGAAAAATAAAACGCATGTTGAATTGGATAAATACCGTCCAAGCTCAAGGATTGGATGTATTTGTATTGTATTAAATAAACACCATGAATCTGTTTAAAAAAATTATGCTATAATAGCGTCAACGCACGTTTATCTCGTGTTATAAAGTCTGAGAGTCAAAAGTTACTAGCTAATGTTAAAACATAGACTGTATGAAATAAAAAGGTTATTGCTGAGAAGGACACTGATTATATTGCACACAGTTACAAAACCTAAATTTGGCCTCGCTAGAGCATCGTCCGAGAGAGATTTTACTATCTGACTAAAGTCCGTTACAAATAGGCATTAGAAAAGTCAATTCTGAAAATATCATAGCACACAAACTTTGAATGAACTTTCACAAGTGTATTGATGGTTTTTTTTCAGTCACTTTAAACTTACTTTTAACTACGGAAAAACATAAAAAGATGTTCCAGTTCAAACTACTAACAACCGATAATTATGTTCATAGACGACACCATGTTTGTTCTAGCGGGAACAAGACATTTCATACCCTTAAGTCAGCCCTCAAGACACTTCTCTCTTCAAAATCAGTAAGACACATCGCCCCTAATCCAGTATTTTTAATAAATAAAATTAAACTTTCATGTTTTTTTAAAGCTATTTTAAGTAACTTTTGTTTATTCTGCATGTTGATTGGTTGTTTATTCAACAGTTATCTCATAATTGATTAGTTAATTGGATTAAAGTGGTACGATTAAGTTATGATTCTATTATAGCATTAAATTTCTTTCAACTAACAGTTGTTTTAAATTTAAAGATCACCCATTATGGAAAAACAAAACAAAAAAAAAACATAGCACAAGCTATGAAAAATAAATACAAATTTCAACTATCACATACTGAAACAGTCATCACAGCTAAGTAATAGCTTTTTATTTATGTCTAAATAGAAATTCATTTACTATATATTTTAAAAGATATCTTTGTGATATGGACCTTTTTATAGATCAAATTTCTTAAAAATGAGGGGTGAATTGTCTAAGGGGTGAATTAATAACCCCATAGTCTGTGACATAATCGCTATTTTTGAAAATTAAGACAAAACGCGTTATGAGTACAAAAACAGTAACAGTTGTGAAAAAATTATATCTTGCTTCCGATGTCTAAATATGTGTTTTTTCTGTTGCTAGAACCATGCATTTGATCATCAGGAGCAAAGACGAGAGAAAATAATTAGGTAATCAGGGGAAAATATTATCGTAAACCAACAAGGTCAGATTCTGCTCCTAGTTAAGCATCTGAAGCGTCACTCACTTGTAATGATCTATTAGTGGTCCTAAGACTGTTATTCTAATATGAAATGAATTACGAAATGACAAAATATAAATAACACAAAGATTTGTGAATAAAATTAAAAATGTCATCCTGTGCTCGGGTTCCAGTATTTTAACGAGGGATGCTATTATTGCTGTAACTCACAAACCTATGTGTTATTTATTCTATTACCCCGAAAAAATATTCATTTGGACACTGTTATAATTTTTGAGATTTTTACTGTAAAAAGTACAAATTTCTGAGCTACATGGTACATTTGAATTAACAGTAAGAATAACTCTAAATTAACGTTACAAAAATAGTGATTGGTAATAATAAATGATATTAATTTGTTAATTTTGTTTGCATGTCTGTCTGCCAATTTCAGCTTTTCTTGTCTTAATCTTATCTGACTGCCAATCCACCGCCTTTACTGGATTACTGACCATTAAAATACAATTTCTTCTTATTTTTGAGCTTTTAAAAACTTGTTTTCAAACAAAAGAGACATTCAAAAATAATTTCGTTGAGGGGCATTTAGATAGATTAGACATTGTTTACAACAATGTTGAAGAACTTGACATAGATTTCACGATCGATGATGTGATAAAGGCTATTTCTTCCCTTAAGAGTGGTAAAAGTGCTACTACATATAAACTTATTCCAGATATATTTATTGAATATAAAGTATGATAAACAAGATCAACAAGGAAATGCTGCGTTCAATGAACGCAACCCCGACACGACCCAGCAACAAGAACCAGCGGCAAGAAGCCCAGGAGGACACCAAACAAATATAGGTTAGGTTGAAAGGCAGAGCACAGACAGGAAAAAAAAACATTTTAGCACAAATATTATCATATTTTTAATTTAAACGAATACCCCGAATCGTGGTTTAGTGGTATCATTATACTAGTGTCCAAGAAGGGTAATCTAAATGATGTGAATAATTACAGGGGTATCACCCTTACTAGAATATTTCGTCGCCCTAATTCCATAATGATGTAAGTCGTATTTTTACCATTTTGAGAAAATCGACTTCAAAGTTTTAACAGGCTATATCTTCACACTTACTCAACCAATTTTAATATAAAATATATCATAGTGTGCATAATAATTTAACTTTTACACTTTTAATTACGAAGAAGTTCCTGTAGATAGTTTTTTTAAAAAATCAAAATAAAAGAATTGAAAAATCACTGAAAAATATATTTTATTGACAAAAATACAAGAACAAGAATGCTGTAATAAGTTACAGCAATGTGACCCTAAAATATCATTACATTTAGGAGTTAAAACAGTGTGAAATAATGACTATTTTACTGTTTTATACTGAAATTATATTAAATTTAGACGTAACTAGAAATTGAATGCTTTAACGAATAGTCTGGATCCACATTTATTTAGGCACCACAGAGCATGTAATGTGATCAGGATCAAAACAGTAAATTTAGTCTTAAAAGTCAATAATAGAAATCCAGGCAATGCGGTGAATAGCCACGAACAGGCATTTTAAGATTGAAATTGAACTCGGGCTTCATTATCTTATGACCATTTACATGAAATAGTGAGCCTTGCAAATGAACAAAAAAAAATAAAATATTCCTGATTTTGTAACTGTATCACATTGAGTTAAACAAAACGAAATCAAAATTTAGAAACATTGTTATTATATATTATATCATTAATTCATTCCAAATTCAATTTTGAATACCTGTTACTTGCATACAAACAGCATGTTGAACACAATTTGACTTATAAAACACACAAAAATGTTTAAAAGATGTAACTGCTTCAACTTTGAAAAACAACATTAACAATGAGTTCCTTTCTCTGTAACATGAAAAAGAATAAACCTATGTATTTTACTTTACTAAGAACAGCATTACTTAATGTTTTGTTAAAAAAAGGAAAAATATGAAACACAACTCAAAGCTCACAAATTTTCAAAGATGCTACAGATCTGTATATGGTGTTTCAATGAACTACTGTACTTCAATTACTTCATGTATTTATATATCAAGTGGCATACAACATCTTTACATACAATAACAATTAAGTATACGTTTGCTTTTAATGTTTTTAACTGAACTGTTTACATCAATAATTCATTCGTATTAAAGCAATGCTCAATATCTAAGAGTTTCAGTCAAATATTAATTCTATTTTACTTCAACAAACGTTTGATGAAACAAATATGACAATTTAAAGATTCCTTAATGTTTTATATGGTCTTAAGACTTTGTAACATTTTTTCACAAAACCATTTTTTCCACATTTCAATCGAATGACAATTTTTAACTAAGCATATTTTTTTTTCTTTTTAAAAATAGTTTTGGTAATGGATAATTTTCAGTTCAAAGGTTCAAATCACTTGATAATTAAATACAGGTAGTATTACATTACGAGCTGGAAGTAGATGTACAAGAATTATTTTTAACTTAGATTAATTTTGCTTTGCACGTTCCAATTATTTAAGAAATTTTAGCATACGATTATGCTGACAAAAAGGTTTAGACTGACACCCTGTTGATTTATGCAAAATAGCTGAGTAGGTCAACAGGGTGGCATTCTGTTTAATAAGTATTTGTTGTGCAAATGACGTCTCTTATTCAACGCTAAATGGTGCATCTGAGACAACTCGGTCTCAGCTTTTAAACTTTTGTTATAGGGATATTATCAACTTTAACCCACCATATAGGCTTTGACGTTTGGACGTACTGTTTTAAGAACACAAACGAGTGATGAAGGACTGAACACTTCTGCCATTTTAAAAGCGTTTTGTCTTTCTTTCTATATGACAGTGGGTATTGTAAACCACTCTGGATTGCATTATGCCTTGGACAGCAAAACTTTTGATATTTTTGTGATCGTTATATGAAAGTGCAGAATTTTGAAATTATGAAAATTATGAAGTTATGAATTATAAAATAAACACGATTTTCATAATTTAACATCAGTTATGAGTGGTAAAGTATATGTGTAAATTTCATTCGAATCACTTAGCACCAGTACAGTAGTTTGTCTTATATAGTAAAAGAAAAACATTGTACAAAATGTAACAATGGCAGTAGTATGTTTCTATTTGATGAGTTTTGTTTGTAAGTTTAAAGTATAAACAATCTTATGCAAAACCTGATTGTCCGTATTTAATGGAAACATTGATCAATCAATCAT